TTCCGAAATTTCAAACCGGAATTTTTGTTGAATGGAAAGCTCCCTAAGTGAACCGTCCTAAAGTTGAATTCCTAAGAACCATATCCAAGTTCAGAAAAGAGAAAGGAAATTTCGTCGTCGCTTGTGTACTTCCTATGTAAAACGTGAAATTACAGGATGAAATTAGGCATTCTCACTTCGTAGTCGTGCAGTGACGGCAAAGAAATGTACAAAATTAAAAGAAAAGCGCGATGCACGTGAAAAGTTGAGGTTTTGATTATTAAACCTATTGACGTTCTCGCTGCCTTCGCCGTCGTTGGTTCTTAAGATCACTATTATCCACCGGACGTACTTGTACGGTTTCAAACACAAGATTTTACATCTGGTCCTCTTTATGTACTTCGTAGCTAGCTTTCGACAAGAACGTTCGTGCAATGAAATGAATTATTCAAAAAGTTTTAACGGTCACTGAAAATTAATATTTTTATGGATTCAGAGTTTTACCAAGTTTTAAGGGTTTCGTATTTTTATTAAACTCGCTCACCAAACACTCTTTCTGCTAATCTACGTAGGCTCACTGTTTTTCTCAGCGATGACAGGCAGATCTTCCTTCGGTTTCCCTTAAGCCTGTAAGTTAGTTTTGAGCCAACAGGAACGTCCGATCCAACGTTGTTTTCCAGCAATTCAGCCGCAGTTTTGTGTCTGTCTGTACTGTTATGGGAAATTACCCGCATTAGCCTCTCTCGCGCGCCAATACAAGCGCTCTTCAAGGCCCCCCGGGAATACGAAAATTGCCTGAAAAGTGTCAGTTCTATTCCAGTCTTATGTTCTCATTGATCGATTGGCTGAAAAAGTGGATAATGGATTATGGGAGAAATGTCATACGAAGAGGAGATTATTACAGAGTCGCTTACGCGACGAATTCTAGCCTAGACGCTATGTTTTGTTTTTCTAGGAAAATGGGGAGATAAATTTGTGAAAAAGTGCACCACATTCGAGTTGACTCGAGCAGTGCACATGCCCAAGTTCATATTTCAGCCGCTCAAGAGGGAGGAAATTTCAGTGCAATTACATGAGGTTATCAGCTCGTTTGACCAGAAAAAAAAAAGAACCTCCGTTTTGATTGCTTTCAGAACGAAAGCAGTTCGGTGTAGATAAGCACAATTAAATTAAATAACCTTGTCTAGGTTATGACAACAATCTACTCCCACTTCTTTCGTCGAGTATCATTTCTTATCCTGATTGGGCCAAACTAAAAAATTATTCTAATAACTGGTTGACTATTATGTTGTGGATAGGATACAGAGAGGTTACAGGTATCTTATTTTCTGCTTTATTGCCCTGCTAAGCGGCAATACAGGTACCAGAAAAGTGATACGGTGGTAACAATGTTACTAGCAGATCAGTACGTCTCTTCGAGCTATAACTTAACCACAAAATGATGTCTAGAAATTTGTCTTCCAGGCAAGATGAGGAAAGGTACTATATGCGAAGTTTATGTTTACGTTGTTAACAACAGTTTAAGTCAATTTGTTTATTTACGTTAGGAAATTTCTTGAGAGCAACATCGAGGATTTTGTTGACCTTACTACTTGTTTTACAACTGGCAGGAGGTAACCTTGAGGGAAACACTGTCAAAGGTCAGTATGATGCAATTTAAAATGGTTATAGATATTACCAATTAGTAGACACTCCCACCTCAACATTCTGACAAGGATGACCTTCTGTTATGAGGTTCATGGGAGACTGATTAACTGATTCTAAAACAATGAAGTCCTCACGCGTTACTTCATTTAAAACTACGGGAATGTATTATATGGGTTAAAGTAATGCTAATACCTTATGTGTGCTTGTAATTATCTTGGAAAACAACACTGACACTTAGCAGAACAGGAATTATGCTAACCTTACCATCTCCACCCCCCTCTCCAGTTGCTAGCAGGATATTTGATTAGACTTTTAAATCGATTATGCGTGTATGTGTTTGTGTGAGGGTTCTGCCCACAGGCAGGTCCTTCCTTCCATCTAAGGCGCGCCTCTTGACTGATCAAATATATGCCTTTAAGTACCTTTTCGTAACAAAAGTTACTTATAGCTCGATGACCAGGCATTGTTTAATCTTTTGGTGTTAACAACAGGCCAGCAAAAAATGAAAAGATACTGAGTCCATAATTTGGTTCCAGCGATAGTTATTCAGCATTGCAATTGTGAGCTGAAATGATATGTTACGGAATGTTTTTCTTTATCGTAGCATCAGGGCATTTTCTTAGACACTTTGCCCTTGTTTTAAAGCAGGTAGTATTCAACAACTAGGAAAAAACAAAGCACGTTTCAAAAGCAAGTATGGTCGTTATGGTAAATATGATTTTACACAGTCGCGTTCTGAGCAACTATCTGTGCATCCAAGTTATCCGATGGACTCGCCGACCCTTAACAAATCATCGAGATCAGGATACAAAGAGACGGTTAATGGGAAAATTGACCCGAGAGGCACGATCCCAAAACCATCCAGTGAAAGAGCTATTAGAAGGCTAACGAGTGATTTAGAGGGACTCCTACAGTTGCTTAAGTCGCGGAAAGACACACCACAGCAGGATGAGGAGAATGGTATGAAGAAGGCCTCCTCAACAAATGGTAATCAATGCAAAAGAAGACTGTGATAATTGTGATACCTCGTTGTACCTATCTGTTTATTCCCCATGTCGATTCTGTACCTAAAGCTGACATTTCCTTTCACGGCACCACTACTAGTTAGAAACAAAAAACCTTTTCTTTAATGAAATTTTTTTTTCTGCAGGAAAACATGTTCATTTTTGAATCCGAAAGTTCAGATTACTAGTACCATGGTCATTTTAATGATTAAAAACTAGAAAGCCACCATAAGCCAGGCCAAATGAAATGAAATGACAAAATGGCCTTGATAGAGCTGACATTGAATTAGACGTTAATGGCCGTTTTCACTGATGTTGCGTTTCATTTTGAAGTTCCAGGTGGTGGCGTAGCGTTTGATCTAGGCTTTATTGTGGACGGATCAAAAGTAATAGATGAACAAGGCACTGGCAATTTTAGGAAATGCTTGGAATTTGTCAAAGAGATTTTAAGGATATTCCCAGTCACCACTGACGGAATACATGCAGGACTGGTAACGTATGGGGAGGATTCGCAAGTTCATTTTAATTTTGACACGAACATAAAACAACTTAACATTGAAGCTAGTATTGACTCAATAACATATCCCGGGGGAGAATCGCAGACAGGAAATGCGCTTTACACAGCAATGACAAAACTGTTTCCTCACAGTGGTCGACAGAACGTTGCGCATGTGTTGATTGTTATCACCGGAAGTGATTCCAAAGATGAAGTAGAACCTGCTGCACAAGAGTTAAGGGCCGGTGGAGTAAGGTTATTTTGCGTTGGCGTTGGTGGGAGATATGATGAATCTCAGCTAGAAGTGATTGCAAACTCGCCTTCGGATACTTACGTCGTTACCTCGGAATTTGACAGTTTGATGAATGTGGTTCTTGTTCTTGTACCACGAATCTTAGCTGGTGAGTTCTACATATTTTAAAAAGTTGATACTACATTTGTTTCTGATGATGTTGATGATGATGATGATGATGATAATGATGATGATGATGATGATGATGATGATGATGATGATGATGATGATGGCGACGATGTCGATGACGATGGTGATGATGAGGAGGAGGAGGGGGGAGGAGGAGGAGAATTGAAACAATTTTTGATGATCTTTCTCAAATGCTCAAAACTAAATTGTAAAATGTCACTCCCAAATGGTTGATAATGAGGTGTAGGCACTAAAATCATGATATGTTAAAACAGGAGCCCATAACCCTTGTCACTGTAGTCTCTTGGCTTGCGTTTATACTAAGTCCTTTGATCAGTTAGTTAACTATTTTTTGGTGACAAAAAATAGACTGAAAATCCAGTTTTGGAAAATATGACGGTCTTGAATGTTCTAAAATATTTCTTTTGATTTAAGTTCTTGATGAATCTGCTGGAAAGCCAACACCGACGCCACCGCAGAGCCTGCTATCACAAGGAGGAATTGTTGGTAAGAGTTCGCCAGTTAAATGGTCTTCACAGGCCAATTAATCAGTTTTAAAGCAGTGTTTATAGGTCAAGCATAATTTAACCTTTTCAAAATTAAATTCTCAGAATTATTCATATATTGCTGTTTCAGAGTCTAAGATAGACCTTGGTTTTTTGATAGACGGAACAGACACAGTAGGAGCAGAGAACTATCGCTTGGCTTTGGACTATATGAAAAGCATATATAGCGCATTCTGGACTCAGTTTAGCAGTATTCACCTTGGGCTCGTGGTCTTCGGCGAGGCAGCGAGATTAATTTTTGACTTTGATAATAAATATGATGATAAAACTGAAACAAATAAGGCCATCGATAGTGCCTCATTCCCAGGAGGAAAAACTGCCTCAATTGGGGAAGCTCTAATTTCAGCTAAGACTCATCTCTTTGGTATCAAACACCATGATTCCTACAAGCGAATTCTAGTTCTTATCACTGGAAGTACTTCAACAGATGATATTTTCACTGGAGCTGAGATGCTCAAGGCCAATAATGTTAATGTGTTCTGCGTTGGCGTAGGAAATCAATATGACGAAGCACAGCTCGATGGAATAGCTTCTGAGCCAAGTTCGAATAATATTTTGACAGTAGCCAGTTATTACAACCTTACATCGCTCACTCAAACTCTTATCGATAAAATCGAGGAAGGTAGGATCACTTAGGCATAAAATACGTTAATAAAGTGGAACCCCGCCTTACGGCCATCTCGGTAATACGGTCACCTAGTTATTACGGCCACATTTTTTTGGCCGCCCGGCAAAAACGACCATACATTTTCTTGTAAAGAAACATGGTTAATACGGTCACCTCTTTATTACGGCCAAATGTTTTTGGCCCATTGGAGACCGTATTAAGGGGGTTCCACTGTATTGTTTATGGTCTAGAACGTAAAAATTCGACATCGAATGGGAGAGGGAAGCCACGAAACTTAGGAATTAGGCTATTACAGTGGAAGCACTCGTAAACGGACATCCTGGCGACGAGAAAAAGGTGTCCGTATCTGGAGTTGGCTGCTTACAAGAATAGTTCTCGTATTCTGCAGCCAGTAGAGGTGTAGGGGTAAAATGGCCGCTTACGGGAGCTTCCTCCGGTACAAAAAAAAGTACTAGGAAATAACCAATTAAAAAAAACTGATGACACTGTTTGGCTATTTTAAAGGGATGAAGGTGAAGGACATAAATATCACGTTTTTTATTTTTTTATTAAATCAGCGCGAACATCCTACATCCCTCCAAAAGAGCCAATATTTTCATCGGGGAGATTTCAGCGAAATGTTAGTCAGCCAGGACAGTCGTCCAGAAAACCAGGACTTGGACCACCGATAAGGATACCGCCGGCTGTTATCTCTCCTCAATCAGGCCAGGTTCGTCTTTCTCCAACCACTACGCCCACCAATTCAACTCCTCCGTCTTCTCTTGTCTCGCCATCTAGACCTGTGTTTGGTGGTGGCGGTAAGATGCCTGTCAATGGAATCATGACTAGTCGACCAACTATTGAAAGACCACCCAAATGGCAGCCGCACGTGCCACCTCTAGTGCCTAAAGAAGGTAATTACTACAGAAGTTCGTTAAGGGTGTGTTCCTTTCGGCGAATCCAAAAACGGATTTTTGATTCTAGATTTGCCAGATTTCGCGGTCGAAAGGGACGTGAAATCCGAAATTGGATTCGTAACCTTGGTAACCTTTCGCCAACGCGTGTAATATGCACGACAGCCTCTCAAAAAATGACGTGTTTTCTACTGTTTGGCAAATTATGCGATTATACCGTGCAGAATTTAGTGGTCGGCAGTTCGAATAGCGACGATGGAACGTATAAAACAGACAAAGAAAGAAGCCCATTAAAACTGAAAATTATCTAAAGAATGTCGGCCAGTTTGATCCAGTTACATAGCTCGGATTTTTTTATGTAACACGATCGAGTGCTTGTCGCGTCTACAAGCGAGTTTGTAGCTAGAAAGCAGTTCATTTGTTATCTTTACTTATTTCTGATTTCAAGCATTCATTAGAGAGAAATGATTAGTATATGGATATTTTAATGTACCAGGAACAATCTTCTAATGTTTTCAGAAGTTTTGCGGCAAATGACAGCAACGAGGAAACTCTACGGCCTCTATGGGAATACTTCAACTGGAAATACCGCTGGATCATCTGACTAATTTCGGATCCACTGTGAATGGAACAGCGTAGATCACTAATCCGTTAATCTGGATTTGGACTCTTCGGATTTCAAATCCAATGAATCCTTTTTCAAAAAGGATTCACCAGATCTAAAATCCGTTTTTTGATTCACCGAAAAGAACACACCCTAAGAGTTGCATTGATAAAAGCTAACGCAACGAGCTAAGTTAAAAGGTTTAGGAAAAAGGTACCTCATTTTGCCTGGCTTCATCAAATCTTCTATACCAGGTACACTACACCTTGGCGCAAACATTGAGTTTTGGAAGTGGTGACAAACATTTTATTTTTGGTGGCGACACTTATTCCCGTTAGCAATATATAGTTAAAGAACTGTACTCTCGGATTATGTGTGGCTTAATCTTGATCTACAGATGAGAAGCTTGACCTTGTTTTCTTACTGGATGGACCAGCTAGCATTCCGAATAATGGATTTGAAGCTGTAAAAATATTTATCAAGAAAATATACAGTAACTTTCCAGTTGGAGAAGATGCAACTCATATTGGTCTAGTGTTATCTGGAAAAGCCTCGCCTGTTGTCTTGAACCTCACGGATAACAAAGGCGCACAAAGTGTTAACACAAAGGTTCTTTCTACAACCAGTCCAAGTTTTGAGGAGAACGCTTTGGGTAAAGGCCTGATAGCTACTAAGGAAAACGTGTTTGACGTTAGTGCCCGACCAGGAGGGCGCCAAGTATTAATGGTCCTTGCGGCGGGGAAATCAGACGATGATACCAAAATGCCTTCACGTGCGTTAAGAGATAAAGGTGTGAATATTTTCGCTGTTGGAATAGGTAACAAAGTGGATGTGAATCAACTACGAGACATTGTAACTTTACCAGAAGAGGAGCACTTAACACAATCCACAGTAGAGAATTTAGATAAGCTACTCAGTCCAATGGTGCAGAATATAAGGAAAGGTAGGTGTGACCAACAGGCTCATTTAGCTTCTTATAGTTGATTAATTATGACAGAAATAGGTGGCGAGGCGGGGGAAATTAGCCTGTAGGCTGGCGTTAATTTCCCTCGTTTTTCTGGCGAACGAAGCACGAAGAGGGGGTAGAATGCTAGACACTTGCAATGGGGGGAAGGGCCTTCCCACCTCGTGAGGGTCTCGCGCTCCTCACTCGAGCTCGCCTCGCACTTGTCTTAGCTCGCGAACTAGCGCCTTTTCTCTTAGGTGGCAACCTTAAAAATCTGCTTGCTGTTCCTTTTCCCCTTGATTTTCCGAATTTGCTTTCTTACTGATGCTTGGATCTAAGACAAAAAAGATGAACTTATTTTCTTTGGTTGACTAAATATATCAGATCAATGCCTGTTACAACACACTAACATGTCCATTACACGAGTAATATTTTCTAACTTATCATTGGTAAGGTAATTAAGATTTTTAGAGTTGTGAATTCTGACTTAGAAGGCGTGATTGTTCCATTTTTTTGTTCTTTAATTTCCATCGATCAAAGTGGCAAACGTGTCATGTTTTGTTTTGGCTGGCTTTGTTTTTGTTTTGTTATTTTGTTTTTTGGTTCTGCTGTTGGTGCTGTTTCGCGGGTAATAGTAGTGCCTTTTCTTTTTTTAGTTCTTGCTGAGTCTGTGGTTCCTTTCGGACCGGCAGGTAAGGGTTTTTTTTATATTCCTTGAGATGGTCTCTCACGTTTTATTACTAAACAAAACCCGATGCTTTGCACTGATTGAAACTGTTCAGTCATTGCAGAATTGGGCTGTCTTAGGAATCTGCCGAAATGCTCCACTCACCGAAGGACTTCATGGGACTGAAATATCATTTTGAAGTTGTAATTATATACTTAAGTGGAATTATAAGTATCAAGAATACAGGAAACATTTATTCAAAAAATTTTCCAACCATATTGTATTTTATTGCAACCATATTAATACGACCAGTCATTATCATCAAAGAATTATTTTATTATATCTTATTATATATTCTTACATTTCTTAAGGTCTCAAGATGGATCTTGGATTTCTCCTAGATGTCAGTTTAAAAAATCTGAGACATGATCAGTTCCAGAATATATTGAACTCTGTTAAGTCAATTTATGCTTCTTTTGAAATTGGCGAAGACAAAACTAGAGTCGGAGTAGTGACATACAGCACTCGTCCACGAATAGCAGTTTCGCTAGACCAATATACCACCAGACAATCTCTCGACACTGCAATTGATCGGATACTAGTGTCTCCTGGGCAAAGCGCATTAGGAAAGGGCTTGTCAGCTGTACAAAATGAGCTTTTTCAAGGAAAAACACGTTCAGAGACTCCCAAAGTACTTGTTGTAGTGACCGCGGGAACATCTATAGATGACTTGGTAAAACCATCAGCAGAGCTAAAGAGACTTAATATAACGATCTTTTGCGTTGGAGTAGAAGCTAACGTGAACAGAAATCAGCTCAATATCGTAGCTTCTTCCCCTGTGAAGGATCACGTGATGGTGGGAAGTGTATCGTACCGAGAAACTGCAGGAGAAAATTTGGCTTCAAGGATAAAAAGAGGTACGTAATGTTAACTTCTCCTTCTTCGGGGTAAGGAGAAAAACAGAGTACAGCTTATTCTCTATTCGTTCAATTATACTGATACGGAATGGGCAAATGTCAATACATCGTCACATACACACATGAAAATTTGCAAAGAAATACTTTGAAGAGAATGCGATCCTAAAGTTTGCGTATTTTGGCCCTCAACGCAGCTGGTGAGTCATTTAAACATTTCTAAAAGGTCTGATTAGTCTGAATTATGGATGAATACGTTTTGGGTTCCTAAATTTTAGTGATGAAACACAAACTGGGCTGTAACAAATGAATTAGCATGATAAAATAACGAGGTAAGGAAAAACAAGCAAACGGAACAAACACGGTGACAGGTCCGCTCTAAAGATCAACAAGTTAAAAAAACTGAAAGCAGATTACAAAAAAGTGTTTAATGTTACCTTCAGCTGTCCAGGTAGACCTTGGCTTCCTGGTAGATGGTTCAAGGAATGCATTGGAGTCAGACTTCAAGCAAAGCCTGGATACTGTGAGGTACATCTACAGCACTTTTCCCATTTCACAAGAAGACGTCCATGTGGCTCTCGGTATTATTTCCAGTAGTCCTGAGATCATTTTCAGTTTTGATAAATACTTTGATAAGCAGAGCCTTGATATGTCTATTAGCAGCGTAGAATTTCCGGGGGCTTCGCAAAATTTAAACATTGGCCAAAGCCTCTCACTTGTCAAAGAAATGTTATATAGTAGCAGTTCAAGGAAGGCGGTCAGACAGATCCTGGTGATATTGGTGCACGGCGAATCAGATGATAGCCTCTCTGATCCGGTTAGGCGACTTAGAGACAGTGGGATAGAAATCTTTTGTCTTGGCGTTGGACAAAAAATTAACGGCAGTGAGCTCGCTGAGATAGCTTCAACACCCACAGAAAATCATGTAGTGATGGATAACATTATTAACCTGCCAAGAGGAGCTCGGGACCTTGTAGACAAACTGCAGATTGCTAAAGTTCAACAAGGTACGTTATCAAATGAAAGGAAACGTCTACTCAAGAATATTCTTTTCATGATTATTGTAATGTTCCAACATGTAAACAAGGATGATTGGGTTCTTTGGGTTCATCAGTTATGCAGAACAACTGAAAAATAAAGTTCATACATTACAATAAAATGTTTTGCAGTTTACTTTTCATTAGTTTGCTTTTAGCAAAATGAATCTATCAATTTTACTGTAGGTTTACCACGACCGCAAAGCTCAGAAATTTATTCCTGCGCTTTCTGATACTTGAGTTCTCTTTCTTTCCAATTTGCATATATTTCGATAATTACAGAGCCTTTTAATTTACTTTTGCTACATCATATTTATATAGTAAGTTATTTTATTATGTCAGTAGATGGAGGGCGAGTTCCTGTTCAGCAGCAGTTGAATAAGAAACCTAGAGGAGGTAAGAAAAATGTTTGACATATAAATGGTTTGATTCAGAACATAAAGCTTTTCACTCGCTTTTTCAACATAACATAAATATTTTGCTACCTGGAAATTTAACAGCACGAGTTTTCATGTTCTAATCGAGGTCAAATGACATCTTTAATGAAGGTGTTTCCCGCCAAAAGTCTAGCCTCTGAGTTGGCTGCATTCTGCGGCAGAAGGTCACAGTTTGAACTGTTACCCATGAATATTCACCGCCACCTCTTATAGAAAAATATAATTAACAATCTTCAAAAATTAATGTTTCCCGCCAAAAGTCTAGCCTCTGAGTTGGCTGCATTCTGCGGCAGAAGGTCACAGTTTGAACTGTTACCCATGAATATTCACCGCCACCTCTTATAGAAAAATATAATTAACAATCTTCAAAAATTACTTCACCTTTGAAGCGTGATTATTGTGAAACTCAGCTGTGTACACGGGAGATTGTTCACTCAATATTGCAATACGCGTTATAGCATTACCAGTAATAAGTCGAAGCAGATCGACAATGAATTATTTTTCTTTCAGCTGCTATTGATCTCGTAGTACTTGTGGAGAGAAGCAAAAATACAAAACCTGAAGACTTTGAACGGATAAAAGAAATAGTACGATCAACCTATCATAATTTCCGAGTTTCACAGAATGGTGTCCATGTAGCAGTGGCGTTCTTTGGAGTAGAAACACAAATTGTCTTCAACTTAAACACATATGACGATCCTCAGGAGATGGATATTAACATTAATAACGTAGCTTACCTTTCTGGTCCAAGCATGGCAGGAAACGCCTTCCGCGATATTAAAACCCAAATCTTCGACCCGAATTCGCGCCAGACCGTTCCTCGTGTGGTTCTTACTATAATGACAGGGACGCCTAGTGATGAGATTGAAAGAGCAGTAAATGAACTAAAAAAAGATTGCACCTTGATGTTTGCTTTGGGTCTCACCACCACCTTTAGTCCGCAAACTTTGAATGTCGCTTCCGGTGAGCCTCGTTCGGAGTACTTGCTTATCAGTGAAACATTTCCGGAGGCTAACATGGTCGCTCAGAAAATGGCAGATAAAATCAAGAAAAGTGGGTATCACTATATATATTGTTCTTTTGCAACTTTTTATTTCATAGGTACAATGTCTAACTAGTAAGTACGAGTGCATACTTACATATGCCCATATCATTAGCTACTTCACCTTTTGCCGGCCATTTTCACTCACGCTTATATAATCCTGCTTTGTTTGTTTGTTTTTCTCGGAAGCCTCTTATGATATTCATGTGTTTTAAATTTGACTTCCTATGATTATACTCGTATTTTAATTTGACTGCTTCGACACTCCCGTATATTAACAAACTTTTTAGGATGGCATTAATTCCAAGGTGTGCCTTTCTTATCGAGTTAACTCGTAAATAAATTTAAATTATGGTTACATGAGTCTTGCTGTCCGGGTTTGCCCCTTTGCCGAGATCCCGATACGTTAGTTAGATGCAAAATAATCAACTTTTTGATCACATGGCAACCCAACCCAGCTCAGCAGACGGGGCCAAACTTTAGAACTCACTAAGTTATTATCTTAAGGTTGGCTTTAATAATTTTTGTACGTTTTCTTAGTTGTCTCTATAGAAAAATCTCGTTCTCCCCGCTGCGCTCAGCTAGGAGGTAAGAACACTCTGTGATATGAATATACCACTGAATCGATATCATTCACTCCGTATTGTCTTTCTGCGGGCCCCTGTATTCTTAGAGACTGCGATTTGATAGATGGATTGCATTATTATATTCCTACAGATTCAAATTTGGATATAGCCTTCATTGTAAGCGATTGCCAAACAACTGCCAACGATAGCTTTCAAGAACAGCTGGATTTCGTTAGTGACCTACATAGGTCTCTGGCATTGGCTCCTGATAAAATTCGTGTTGCCATTATCTCAGTCGTCAATGGTGTCCAAATTCTTCAACAGTTAACAAGTACTCCATCAGACCCAAGCGCCGTAGTGTCAGCATATATTAGCCAGCCTACCGCCGATTGCACGTTTGGAAAGGGACTGGAAACCGCACGCTCAATTTTTGAAGCAACCGGTGTTAGAGGGGTTTTGCAAATATTAGTGGTTCTTTTAGCTGGGAAGTCGATTGATGATATTTCAAAGCCTTCTCAGAATCTTCACGACCGCCCGCACGATCATATGTGTCAACTAGAATCATTATGCGTCGGTTGTTCCTTCAGACTACATTAATTTTACCAACAATGTCTAGGACGCAGACTTAAAAAATATAGTTGAGGGCCTAAAGGATAGAGACGGTCTACTAGGAAAGCTCTATTAGAAAAGTTAACAAGCGGTATGTCAAACAAGTGTTTATTTAAAAGTACTTTCCTTATATTATCTGCATCTTTTTCCTGCACTAGCTGCTGTTTAATTCTCTCCTGTGATAACTTTGAAAATCGTTTTTAACTTGAGGCTTCGTGGTTGTGTTGTTGTGCTTATTCACGAAAAAGAAAACTGGCAGTGTTTTTCCCGCCTTCCGTCATGCCACTTTCCATCATACCTTGATCACGTGCTGTAATGTATTCCGAGCGGGGTACATTGCTTAATGTATCACGATCGGGATACATTTGATTTTAGTCAAGGCCACGTGACCAAGAATCAACCAATGGCAGTCCCTGTCTAGCTGAGTGAAAGTCCAGGAACATAACAATAGTTGATGACATTTAACTTACCTATGGAACATTGCTCTTCGAAAGCTGTTGTTTAACAGTAGCAATGTAACGAGGTACTCAAGCAAATTAAGGCATGGGTCAAAAGCTATTTTCGTTGAAAACTGAGGGGGTTGTCTATTTTGTAACTATTTACAGTAAATCTCTAAATTGTATGTAACACGCGATTTCTCAGAAAGTTATTGCTATTTATACAACAACATTATGCAAATTAGGCCACGTGAACTCTTATGGCCACAAAGTCCCAAACACTCTTTAAGCAAAAATGGCACTGAGCAGTTTAAATTCAAAGTTATTCAACTTAATTGCTACAACACAACTTGCAATATAGAGAACTACAAAACTGTGCTTGGCAACATTTGAATGTGTAATTACTTTTGTAGATAAACGGGTTTTTTTTAATACCAGTACCCAGTCCCCCATTAGAAGTAATTCCTCTAATCGGAAATTTCCTTTGCAATATCTTAACATTGCCAAACACAGAAATGATAAACCTAAAGGCCTTAAAATTATGCAGCTAGTCTAGTTGTCTAGCACTTCTTTTTATTAATTATTCAGTCATTTATGTATTTATTTACATGTAAATGTTGTTTTGTTTTGTTTTTGTTTTTGTTTTTATGCAAACGATAGTCATCCAAATAAGCAAAGAGCTGGTTTGTTCTCCGTCAATAAAAGGATGTAACAATAACAACACCAGCGGTTAGTATCCTGATAAATCAAATTGCAATCCGCTTAATATAACTGGATTTTTTGCGAGGTTGCAGTTAGTCTGCTTCACTGCCGTTCTTCGTTTCTTCACGCCATGCTCCTCTCAAAGAACGACTGTGTAGCAGACTAGGTTGCAGTTTGTACTTGGAGTTCTGTATTTTCTTATATCAGCAATTCTCTCAGATGCTAGAAATTCTGTGGTAACTAGAGTGTTAAGAGAATTGCATAGTGCGTTCGAATTGTACTCACAATGCTAATCTAGTCAGTTATGTTTAGCAGCGATCACTATGTACTAGTTTAAAGCTGAAGTTAAGTTCACTTTTGTTTTCGTCCGCAGGACTGCAACCATCCCAGGTTCAACCACAAAATACCAGCGAACCTTCGTCAAGCGTCTCACCAGTGGGCAGCAGCATACAAGGCGGAAACCACTCCAGAATGGCTGCTATTGATTTAGTATTCTTGGTTGAGGGCTCTGATGCAGTAAATGACTCTCTTTTCAGCACAATGTCTGACATTGTGAAAGACATTTTAACTCGGTTTCCAGTATCAATAAACAGGACACACGTGGCAGTAGCAGTTTACGCTGCAGAAACAAAGATAGTTGTAAATCTGAATGACATCTACAACAGCAGTAAAATTAAGGAGGCGTTAGACTCAGTGAAAAAACCGAATGGTTATAACTTGGCTGGTAAAGCTCTTAAAACGGTCAAAACTGACATCTATGATAAAACTGGAAGAACAGGTGCTGTGTCACGTGTTCTTTTACATATAATGTGCAGTGAATCACTTGATGACGTCATCCAACCTGCTAAAGATCTGAGGGAGGAAAGGGTAAAAATAATAGCTGCGGGTGCCTGTCCTAAAGTTAAGAAAGCCGAACTTTGCAAAATTGGTAGTCCACCCTTGTGTGATAACTCAGTCTTAATACAAACATTCAAGCCACCCTCTTCTCCAGGCAGGGAACTGGCAGATCGACTGAAGAAAGGTTCGTCAGTACTTTCAAGTCACAGGAAGGGCAAGATATATGCCCTATGTCAGACATAAATGTACCATGTCAAAATGCATCTAGACCCTATGAATTTTTTGCTCTTTGTTAGTTATATGCGATCAGACTGTAACCATCACTAAAAATTCATCTAATTAACTAGTAAATTGTTCCTGTCAAATAGTCGATCATGTTATTGTTCTAATTATTTTAAACTTTTACATATAGGTGTTCCAGTTGAAAATGTTACCCATCCTTCGACAGGTGAGGTATATAAATTGTTCATTTGCTTGCTTAGCAATGCAAACTAGTAAAAACCTTATTCCTGTCGAACAGTCCATGAATTATGTTATTGTTCTAATTATTCTTCATTTTTAAATCTAGGTGTTCCAGTAAAAAATGTTACCCAGCCTTCGACAGGTGAGATGTATAAAATGCGCATTTTCAAACCTTGCAAAACTAGTAAAAATCTTAAATAGAGAGCTGTGGTTTGTATGAAAAAATGCGATTACAATGTAGTATAAGCATACGATATTGTCATTAATATATCATTATCATCGTCTTTTCAACATCATCATCATCATCATCATCATCATCATCATTCTTATTATTATTATAATCAAGAAGATAAACTGCAATACCACCTAACATCTCAAGGTTTCTTCTTCTCAAATGTTATCAAGTACTTATTGTCATCCGTAAATTCTATTTGGTCAGAGGCCCAGTCTCATCTACCCAAGAACATTTACAATTTTACCATCCGCTACATCAACAACTCCCTCCCTACACCTAAGAATATGGCAAGATGGGGATTATTACAAAGTCCTAATTGCTCCTTTTGCCTTAATCCTGAATCACTCCTTCAAGTTGTCGCTGGTTGTCAACAGTACCTGGAGACGCGACTCAATCCTTAATTCCATTGCCAAGTCACTTCAACCTGTAATTAATGTTCACTCTTCACTCTATGCAGATGTTAATGGTTTTCTGAATCCCTCAATAATAACTGGTGAAAATTATCGTCCAGATCTTCTTTTCCTAATACAGTCCAAGTGCCTATATGTTCTAGAATTAACAGTTGGTTTCGAGTCTAACCTTAACAACAATGCAGTACGTAAGAAAGAAAAATATCTGAACTTGATCAACGAAACGAGTAGAAATTACAGATGTGTGAGATTTTTAAATCTCTCCATGAGTTCCCTTGGCGTTTTCTCCGATGAATGCTCCACGTTCTTAGACATGATGAATGACTTTGGCATTGACAAAAAGCAGCAATGTTATATAATCAAAAAAATGATAAATATAGCCATTAGAGCAACATATTACATCTTTTGTTGTAGAAACAGGAACTGGGATAGCCCAGAGTTAATGCAATTTTGATTTTTGTTTTTGCCTTTTTTTGTTTTGTTTTTGTTTGTTTTTGCTTGTTTTGTTTTTTCTTTTTAATAATCCAATCTCAAGCAGCATTTGTAAATTGCCTATACGTAGCGAGATTTACAATTTTACATTCAAAAACACAAATGAAGTTTCCATTATTATCATTATTTATTATTATTTTTATATTACTAGACAATGTAAATTACCCTTGGGAGCAAGCAACAAAAAGTTCCTAAAGGTCCCAAAGGAGTCCTTACATTTGGGTCCCTAAATAGCCAAAAATTCGGTAATATTCCAGCTTTTCCCAACAGAACCGCTTTCTGGATCACTTCAAGTCTGATGGTAATGTTAAGCTTTCCCGCATATTTCTCAAACATATCGGAAACAGCTCCTAATGTTCAGTCCACAATTGGGACAACCGTCACTTTCTTCAGCTTCCACAACTCTCCTATTTCTTCTGGACGAAATTGGAACTCCTCTATTTCCTCCACTTCCTTGTTTTTTACTCGTGCATCTTCAGGGACAGCCGGCGATGTCTATGAACTGAGCCTCCTCACACCTACTGGTGGCCTTGTTCCCCAAAGCGTCAAGTTCTATCTTATAGCCTTGTGTCTCTAGGGTCCTTCTTAGGATCTTAGCTGTTCCCTACAAACAATCTCTCTGAAGCAATGCAATGATACCAGGTGTTCCCAGCTCTATGGTCCACATCCTTAGGTGTTTTCTTATGGTATCAAGACCTCCAATTACAATAGGGATGACAGGTACACTTCTGCAATTCCAGATCTTTTACAGCTCTACTTTTAAGCCCTGATTGTGGTCGATGGATACTCCTGTTCTTTTTCTGCTTCCCGTGTATCAAAAGAGCAAGCAACATAGGCAATGAAGCACACCCTTCTCTCCTTTGCGAGCACTAAAACATCAGGGCTTCTGATGTCTAAATGGCCATTATCTGTCTGAACTCTGAAACCCCACAGTAATTACACTTGGTCATTTTTCATCACTGCCCCTGGAGAATGGTCATACCTGGTTTCGTTGCGCTTCAGATTAAATTCATTGCAAAGATTCCAGTGGAAAACTTGAGAAACCTTGTCGTGTCTCCAGGATTTATACTGTTTTTGAGGTAATTTCTTTCATTCTGCAATTATATATGGCTAAAACTTTTCTCACTTTCTCTGCACAGGCGACACATCGGTGAAACATATCTTGCCTGTCAATTTTATTCTTTAACTTTAATATTATTATTATTATTATTATTATTATTATTATTATTATAAGTTACTTCTATTTTTTAGAATTTGATTTACTTATCAAAAAAGATAGAAGTGAATATTATATATCCTAACAAAAACAAGAGATTACTTCCTGCTCCTCAAAGAAAACATTGCCTACCTTAACATCTATCACAAAAGATGAATTAATTAGATTTTTTGTAACGGCAGGTTGATTGTAAATAGGATTTTAATTGAGGTTTTGTAATAAAGATTCTTTTCTCTTATTATTATTATTATTATTATTATTATTATTATTATTATTATTATTACTGTTATTATTGTTATTATAATCATAATCAACAGGACCATTTCAACCAAACGTTCTTTGGCATGGTTCCCCTGTACAGTCTATGTTTCCTCTTGTGCCGGCACTCGTTCCTGTCCATTCTCCTCAAGCACTACCTCCTGCTTCCAATATTTGGACCTACGAGATTCCTATACAGCGCGATCCCGTGGCTCCAGATCCATATACAGTACACGATGATTCCTACTTGTACAGCCGTAAGTAAAAAGCTTCATTTAGTTACAAAATTAAATGCTTTCGAAGAGTTTTTTGGGTGGAAATGTGCAAACAGGAATATAACTTGTTTGTTTGTTTGTTTGTTTTTTTTTATACATAATTTAAAACGTCCTTATTTCGGGCAAACCTCATGCGAGCCAGCACACTATTCTCTACAAATATAGCGGGAACAAGCCAAAATTTGTTGGACGGAAGATCAGAACCATGCGCGAGTAGATTGGTTTTCTTATTTCCGGGTATTCACCCCTGTGCGGTGACATCACCTAAAACGAACGTGAACGAGGTCGAGAGATTTGGAGTGCAAATAGATTAGAAACGAGGTGAGTGATTGGTAATTGCTTTCATTTTTTCTATTTTCTAGATGTCTTTATTTGCTTGAGGAAGTATTCATCCAGGTCTCGATCCAGAGCGTGTTAGTGATGAATCTCGAGGAAGACGAGAGATTTTTTATGTGTTTGGCAGCTCTTTTTGTCGGTTCGCGAATAAATGACGATGCTAAGATATAGATCAAATCTTCCACCATGGAGATAGTTCATTCAGCAGAAGTGATGTGCCATAAGCAAAAAAAACTCTGGTCGCGGCAGGAAAGATAAGCCAGCTTTGCGGCTAAAGCAACTACGGTTCCACCATGCAATTAATCAAATTATTCTTCGCCCTTTGATCGTTGTGTTGAAATCTCTGCCTGTTGAGGTGACAATTTGTCCAAAATGTGTATCGCTCTTTGAAACTAACCCTTGGCTAACCATACGACTGTAAAATCATTTGGCAAGCGCCTGCTTCGCAAGCTACCGTCGGCTCCAATTGTTTTTAAACCTTTAAGTCAAAAGACAGCTTTTCGAGCACCCCATTAAGCCCGTTAATATCCATGCGTCGATATCTCCGCACCTCAATTCGCGAATCGGCAAACATTTTAGACATAGTAGAGCAGCTAACACATAAAATTAGCATATCTTCCTCGGGATTCATCACTTAAATGTTTTTGATCTCGATGAAATTATTTCCATAGGACGAAAATAAAGAAATCTTAAAAATATAAACAAGCAATTACTGAAAACGTAGGCCTCGTTTATCACCCAGATCATCTGCTTGAACTCTGGAAATTAGCCTGCATAACAGGCGCTTTATGAGCCAAGCGAGAAGCGAAGAAATTTGCGGGTTGGAAATTTACTACAAGGGCTTTTCATTTTATACATCCTCACTTTATTTATTTTCAAACTGTATTCTCCGTATTGTCTTCCAGCGCTGACGCCAGCACTTACTTTCAGATTGAAACTCCTAGCTCTGCCCTATTTTGTCTTTTTTGCACTTTCTGTCTTACGTTTTCATTTGAAGCCTTTTCACAATCAATGTGAAAACAACGTAATTTATCCCCGTGATCTCGATCAGTTCATCATTGTTGGTACTCTGTCAGTATCAGAGTGTGGAGCGTGGCTTTATCCCCTCCACCCTGATGGCTTTTTGTATAAAAAATCTTACTTTTAATGCTACGTGGCATACATATGTTTTATTGTTGTTTAATATTCATTATTTCTCAGCTGCCTGTGTAGATTATGATCCAGCGTGTTCAGGCGGGCGTGCTAGTATACACAGTTGATCTTAGTAATACGCAGCCAACAAGGAAGTCTGATGTAATTAAAATGGTTGTTACAGATCCTGCGTCTGAATTTTTTATATCAACTCCCGGATTTCCTATCTCTGAGTCTACTAGGAAAGCTCTATTAGAAAAGTTAACAGGCGGTATGTCAAACAAGTGTTTATTTAAAAGTACTTTCCTTATATTATCTGCATCTTTTTCCTGCACTAGCTGCTGTTTAATTCTTTTCTGTGGTAACTTTGAAAATCGTTTTTAGCTTGAGGCTTCGTGGTTGTGTTGTTGTGTTTATTCACGAAAAAGAAAACTAGCCTGCGAGCAAGCTCTCCTATTTGGGCGCGCGAAGCGAGTCTCGCGAGAACGCGCGAGTGAGTAGCGAAGCTGCGAGGGGCAGATGAAAGCGTTCTAGCGCGGCTCGCCCAAATAGGAGAGCTTGCTCGCAGGCTAAAAGAAAACTGGCAGTGTTTTTCCCGCCTTCCGTCACGCCACTTTCCACCATACTTTGATCACCTACTGTAATGTATTCCGAGCTAGGTACATTGCTTAATGTATCACGATCAGGATACATTTGATTTTAGTCAAGGCCACGTGACCAAGAATCGACTAATGGCAGTCCCTGTCTAGTTGAGTGAAAGTCTAGGAACATAACAATAGTTGATGACATTTAACCTTACCTATGGAACATCGCTCTTCGAAAGCAGTTGTTCAACAGCAGCAATGTAACGAGGTACTCAAGTAAATTAAGGCGTGGGTCAAAAGCAATTTTCTTTGAAAACTGAGGGGGCTGTCTATTTCGTAACTATTTACAGTAAAGCTGTAAATTGTGTGTAACACGCGATTTCTCAGAAAGCTTTACTATTTATACAACAACATTATGCAAATAAGGTCACGTGAACTCTTATGGCCACAAAGTCCCAAATACTCTTTAAGAAAAAATGGCACTGAGCAGTTTAAATTCAAAGTTATTCAACTTAATTGCTACAACACAACTTACAATATAGAGAACTACAAAACTGTGTTTGGCAACATTTGAATGTGTAATTACTTCTGTAGATAAACGGTTTTTTTTATACCAGTACCCAGTCCCCCATTACAAGTAATTCCTCTAATCGGACCTTTCCTTTGCAATATCGTAACATTGCCAAACACAGAAATGATAAACCTAAAGGCCTTAAAATCATGCAACTAGTCTAGTTGTCTAGCACTTCTTTTTATTAATTATTCAGTCATTTATGTATTCATTTACATGTAAATGCTGTTTTGTTTTGTTTTGTTTTTGTTTTTGTTTTTATGCAAACGATAGTCATCCAAATAAGCAAAGAGCTGGTTTGTTCTCCGTCAACGAAAGGATGTAACAATAACAACACCAGCGGTTAGTATCCTGATAAATCAAATTGCAATCCGCTTAATATAACTGGATTTTTTGTGAGGTTGCAGTTAGTCTGTTTCACTGCCGTTCTTCGTATCGTCACGCCATGCTCCTCCCAAAGAAGGACTGTGTGGCAGACTAGGTTGCAGTTTGTACTTGGAATTCTGTATTTTCTTATATCAGCAATTCTCTCAGATGCTAGAAATTCTGTGGTAACTAGAGTGTTAAGAGAATTGCATAGTGCGTTCGAATTGTACTCACATTGCTAAGCTAGTCAGTTATGTTTAGCAGCGATCACTATATGTAATAGTTTAAAGCTGAAGTTAAGTTCATTTTTGCTTTCGTCCGCAGGACTGCAACCATCCCAGGTTCAACCACAAAATACCAGCAAACCTTCGTCAAGCGTCACACCAGTGGGCAGCAGCATACAAGGCGGAAACCACTCCAGAATGGCTGCTATTGATTTAGTATTCTTGGTTGAGGGCTCTGATGCAGTGAATGACTCTCTTTTAAGCACAATGTTTGATATTGTGAAAGACATTTTAACTCGGTTTCCAGTATCAATAAACAGGACACACGTGGCAGTAGCAGTTTACGCTGCAGAAACAAAGATAGTTGTAAATCTGAATGACATCTACAACAGCGGTAAAATTAAGGAGGCGTTAGACTCAGTGAAAAAACCGAATGGTTATAACTTGGCTGGTAAAGCTCTTAAAACGGTCAAAACTGATATCTATGACAAAACTGGAAGAACAGGTGCTGTGTCACGTGTTCTTTTACATATAATGTGCAGTGAATCACTTGATGACGTCATCCTGCCTGCTAAAGATCTGAGGGAGGAAAGGGTAAAAATAATAGCTGCGGGTGCCTGTCCTGAAGTCAAGAAAGCGGAACTTTGCAGCATTGGTAGTCCTCCCTTGTGTGATAACTCAGTCTTAATACAAACATTCCAGCCACCCTCTTCTCCAGGCAGGGAACTGGCAGATCGACTGAAAAAAGGTTCGTCAGCACTTTCAAGTCACAGGAAGGGCAAGATATATGCGACGTCAAAATGCATCTAGATCCCATGAATTTTTTGTTCTTTGCTAGTTATATGTTATCAGACTGTAACCATCATTAAAAAATTCATCTAATTAACTAATAAATCGTTCCTGTCAAGTAGTCGATCATGTTATTGTTCTAATTATTTTTAACTGTTACATATAGGTGTTCCAGTTGAAAATGTTACCCAGCCTTGGACAGGTGAGGTATATAAATGTTCCTTTGCTTGCTTAGCAATGCAAACTGGTAAAAACCTTATTCCTGTCGAACAGTCAATAAATCATGTTATTGTTCCAATTATTCTTGATTTTTAAATCTAGGTGTTCCAGTAAAAAATGTTACCCAGCCTTCGACAGGTGAGATGTATAAAATGTGCATTTTCAAGCATTGCAAAACTAGTAAAAATCTTAAATAGAGAGCTGTGGTTTGTATGAAAAAATGCGATTACAATGTGGTATAAGCATGCTATATTGTCATTACTATATCATTATCATCGTCTTTTCAACATCATCATCATCATCATCATCATGGCCGTTGTCGTCGTCGTCATCATCATCATCATCATCATCATCATCATTGTTATTATTATTTATTATTATTTTTATATTGTGGATTCTCTGGCTTAAAAGGTTTACATTGCCTAGTAAATTACCACTGGGAGCAAGAAAAAAAAAGGTCCTAAAGGTACCAAAGGAGTCCTTACATTTGAGTCCCTAAATAGCCTAAAATTTCCGTAATATTCCAGCCTTTCCCAACAGAATCGCTTTCTGGATCACTTCAAGTGTGATGGTAACGTTAAGCTTTCCCGCATATTTCTCAAACATATCGGAAACAGCGCCTAATGCTCTGTCCACAATTGGGACAACCGTCACTTTCTTCAGCTTCCACAACTCTCCTATTTCTTCTGGAGGAAATTGGAACTCCTCTATTTCCTCCACTTCCTTGTTTTTTACTCGTGCATCTCCAGGGACAGCGATGTCTATGAACTTAGCCTCCTCACACCTACTGGTGGCCTTGTTCCCGAAAGCATCAAGTTCTATCTTATAGCCTTGTGTCTCTAGGGTCCTCTTAGAATCTTAGGTGTTTCTTACAAACAAGCTCCCTGAAACAATGCAATGATACCAGGTGTTCCCAGCTCTATGGTCCACATCCTTAAGTGTTTTCTTATAGTATCAAGACCTCCAATTACAGTAGGGATGACAGGTACACTTCTCCAATTCCAGATCTTTTACAGATAGTAGTCGATGGATACTCCGGTTCTTTTTCTGCTACCCGTGTATCAAAAGAGCAAGCAACATAGGCAATGAAGCACACCCTTCCCTCCTTTGCGAGCACTAAAACATCAGGTCTTATGATGTCTAAATGGCCATTATCTGTCTGAATTCTGAAACCCCACAGTAATTACACTTGGTCATTTTCCATCACGGCCCCTGGAGAATGGTCATACCTGGTTTCGTTGCGCCGCAGATTAAATTCATTGCAAAGATTTCAGTGGAAAACTTGAGAAACCTTGTCGTGTCTCCAGGTTTTATACTGTTTTTGAGCTAATTTCTTGGATTCTGCAGTTATATTTGGCTAACAGTTTTCTCCCTTTCTCTGCACAGGCGACTCATCGGTGAAACATATCTTGCGTGTCAATTTTATTATTTAACTTTAATATTATTATTATTATTATTATNAATTCATTGCAAAGATTTCAGTGGAAAACTTGAGAAACCTTGTCGTGTCTCCAGGTTTTATACTGTTTTTGAGCTAATTTCTTGGATTCTGCAGTTATATTTGGCTAACAGTTTTCTCCCTTTCTCTGCACAGGCGACTCATCGGTGAAACATATCTTGCGTGTCAATTTTATTATTTAACTTTAATATTATTATTATTATTATTATTATTATTATTATTATTATTATTATAACTGTTATTATTGTTATTATAATAATCAACAGGACCATTTCAACCAAACGTTCTTTGGCATGGTTCCCCTGTACAGTCTATGTTTCCTCTTGTGCCGGCACTCGTTCCTGTCCATCCTCCTCAAGCACTACCTCCTGCTTCCAATATTTGGACCTACGAGATTCCTATTCAGCGCGATCCCGTGGCTCCGGATCCATATACAGTACACGATGATTCCTACTTGTACAGCCGTGAGTAAAAAGCTTCATTTAGTTACAAAATGAAATGCTTTCGAAGAGTTTTTGGGTGGAAAAGTGCAAACAGGAATATAACTTGTTTGTTTGTTTGTTTGTTTTTTAATATACATAATTTAAAACGTCCTTATTTCGGGCGAACCTCATGCGAGCCAGCACACTATTCTCTACAAATATAGCGGGAAAAAGCCAAAATTTGTTGGACGGAAGATCAGAACCATGCGCGAGTAGATTGGTTTTCTTATTTCCGGGTATTCACTCCTGTGCGATGACATCTATATCACCTAAAACGAACGTGAACGAGGTCGAGAGATTTAGAGTGCAAGTAGATTACAAACGAGGTGAGTGATTGGTAATTGCTTTCATTTTTTCTATTTTCGAGATGTCTTTATTTGCTTGAGGAAGTATTCATCAAGGTCTCGATCCAGAGCGTGTTAGTGATGAATCTCGAGGAAGACGAGAGATTTATTGTGTTCGGCAGCTCTTTTTGTCGATTCCCGAATAAATGACGATGCTAAGATATCGATCAAATCTTCCACCATGGAGATAGTTCATTCAGCAGAAGTGATGTGCCATAAGCAAAAAACTCTGGTCTTGGCAGAAAACATAAGCCAGCTTTGCGTCTAAAGCAACTACGGTTCCACCATGCAATTAATCAAATTATTCTTCGCCCATTGATCGTTGTGTTGAAATCTCTGCCCGTTGAGCTAAATAATCAGCTGACAATTTGACCAAAACGTGTATCGCTCTTTGAAACTAACCCTTGGCTAACCATTCAAATGTAAAATCATTTGGCAAGCGCAGGCTACCGTCGGCTCCAATTGTTTTAAAACCTTTAAGTCAAAAGAAATTAAAGCTTTTCGAGCACCCCATTAAACCAGTTAATATCTATGCGTCGATATCTCCGCACCTCAATTCGCGAATCGGCAAACATTTTAGACATAGTAGAGCAGCTAACACAAAAAAATAGCATATCTGCCTCGGGATTCATCACTTAAATGTTTTTGATCTCGATGAAATTATTTCCATAGGACGAAAATAAAGAAATCTTAAAAATATAAAAAAGCAATTACTGAAAATGTAGGCCTCGTTTATCACCCAGATCATCTGCTTAAACTCTGGAAATTAGCCTGCATAACAGGCGCTTTATGAGCCAAGCGCGAAGCGTAGAAATTTGCGGGCTGGAAATTTACTACAAAGGCTTTTCATTTTATACATCCTCACTTTATTTATTTTCAAACTGTATTCTCCTTATTGTCTTCCAGCGCTGACGCCAGCACTAACTTTCAGATTGAAACTCCTAGTTCTGCCCTATTTTGTCTTTTTTGTACTTTTTGTCTTACGTTTTCATTTGAAGCCTTTTCACAATCAATGTGAAAACAACGTAATTTATCCCCGTGATCTCGATCAGTTCATCATTGTTGGTACTCTGTCAGTATCAGAGTGTGGAGCGTGGCTTCATCCCCTCCACCCTGATGGCTTTTTGTATAAAAAATCTTACTTTTAATGCTACGTGGCATACATATGTTTTATTGTTGTTTAATATTCATTATTTCTCAGCTGCCTGTGTAGATTATGATCCAGCGTGTTCTGGATATATTGGAATCAGTGGGTATTGTGATGGTCCGGCAATTGGCTACAGTCATGATTATTTGATGAAAATGTGCAAAAAAAGCTGCGGTCTCTGTAAAACGTAAGTTTGATGGTTCTCTGATGTGCACTGATTTAACCCTTTAAGCCCTAAAAGTGTTCAGCGTCAAATTTCTCCATGTAATATCACTGCTTTATAAAACAGAGTGGTCATGAGAATTAAGGACATGATCACACAAGATGAATCTAAATTGATACTTCAACAAATTCTCCCCACTATTTCTACTGAAAAAGTATAGGAATTACAAATGAGAATTAGAATTTTGATGTTAGGGTTTAAAGGGTTAACGAAAGTAGCTTCTAATTTATCACAATCCTGAATTGAAGTTCTCCCCGGCCTGCGCATGCCCTCGCCACTATTTTTGAGTTTTGAACACTGAGGAGGTGAAATTCATTTTCACCGTTATTGGGCGCCAGTACTGTGCGAAAGATAAGTTAGGTGTTAAACTGATTCCGGTCATTTTGGGGCGAAACAAAATAAAAGCCCTCCAACAGATGCCACAATAAAAAGTATTTCAGAGTTCACCACAATGAGCATAACCAGCACAAGTACAATTTGTGAGCCTTTAAATGAAGGTTTTTCGAGCACCCCATCATTTTTATTATAGAGTCGTTGGGAACGGTAATATAGCGAGAGACGATTTCCTAAGCATTTGTCACTTTAGGAGTGAGAATTAAACAGGGCAGAGTTTACTATCGCAAAGACTTCTGGGACTGTTAATAGGGGCGGGGGAAATTTGTCGAATAGTTGACCACCGCGTCCCCAAAAACGATTCCGGACTAAAATACAGTTTAGTTTCGTGTGTGGCGCACGGCAGGCTAGAACATTCCGCACCTTTGATTATTTCGATTCGGTTTACTTACATTACTGCCTGCATCTTTCTTTTCATTGCAGAGATAAAGACTACTTATCAGAAGGGTTATGGATAAAGAAAACTGTTCTCCCTAAAATAACACGTCAACAACGTAAACCAAAGAGTGGCAGAAACTAGAACTATATAGAACAAGAAACATACTTTGATTTATAAAATTCCCTATTCGGGAGTGTGCATTAAATTTTTGTAGACACACATGCTTGAAGTAAAAACCCTTGAATGCAGAGGTGCACTCAACGTGTAAATAAAACCGACTGGTTCTTCCTTGTTGGATCTCTAATGTAGAGATGCTAATACCAGACGTCACTTGAAGTGGGAATTTAAAAAAAAACTGAATGCAAGGCTGGCAATATGGCAAAGGTTTGATTTATTTGAGGCCAATATTTCGGCTAACAACATTAGCCTTCCACAGGCCCAGAGCAAGACTGAAAGAAAATATTGTAACGGCTTCGCTAAGATTTGAGTTTAAATTTACATAAGGGTTTAATGATAAACTAAAAAGTGATTGATAATGTACATTTCAACGTTCGTCCTTGTGGTTTAAACCATCTGGAGAAAGTGCTTCTATTTATAAGGTAAGCTTCTCTTGCTTTACGGCGTGATACACATGTAGCTTGAAATTTGTCAATCAGGCAAAGGACAATTCCTTACCTCTTTGATTGCCTGTTTAAACTGTTTCTTCTCCCTTTTGTTATTCTTGCATTTGTGAATTCAAATTTGTGACGGTTCACCGCTAGACAATCCTTTCGATTGTATCCTTCGTTCACCGATTTTGGAGCGCTTTTATTTTGAAAAGCAACGACCGCTGAAGAGAGCGCTCGTGGGCTACCAAGTTATCTTAGCGTTGCTTTGTGTAGTAAAAATAAGAAAAATTGTCTTTTTCGTCACTTGGTACTTTGTGCCTCCTTGGAAAAATACTCGCGAGTGCTTTATTTATAAAGCTGCCATTGTCTTTCAAAATAACTAACCCTCAAACGGTGAGCAAAAGTTAGGATTAAAGGACTTGTTTAGCGGTTTACCGTCACAAATGATTTCACACAAACTGTTCAAGTTTGAACGTGAACATTTTTGAGAGACGATTCTAATTGATGGATAGTTTTGTTTGAAAGAGGCACATTCTCTAAACACTACTGTTTTATCTGTACTCACTTATCAATAGTTCTCTGTCTCTACGCCGACTGTCCTTCTTTTACAGCGCTTACAGCTCCAATGTCTCATTTATAGACCCTCGGCGATTCTAAATGGAATAAACTACTACATGAGTGTATGTGGTTTGCGTTGCGTCGTGTGTAGAACAGATAGTCACTGTAAATCACTGAACGGAGGTTTGCGGGAAGATCAATTAGGTAATTCCTTTTATTGTTGATTGGATTTGGATTTTAAATCAAGCAAGCGATAAATTTGAAGCTTTTCCGAAAGAAAGGACCTGCAGCAAGCTTTAGACTTAAGCGACCTTTCAACCTAATTTTTAATTCATTTGTTCAGTCAAGGTGGCCGCCTTTTCTTAGCAAAACAATCACAGGTATTCAATATTATATTGTATATAATATACGGTAGGAAAAAAACAATTATATTTTTTGTGGTGGATGAGCCTCTGACAACCAGAAGAACAGAGTTGAAAGATGTACCTCTAAGGAATGGAATTACGGAAAAGCGTTTTTGATGCCGCCCTTCATCGACAGATTCTCTATATGCTGATGTTGTAATGTGTCTAACAAAAGTTCTTTATCTTTGCCTGCTCTTATTATGGATACAAGACTCTGCTGCTCTGAAACTGAAATCAGGTAATTAACTTTTATTTGTGTGATTGAGTCACATTTATATTTCTCTATCCAGTGGTGATAATTGTTTTAAACGAAGTCATGTTGAATATTTAATGAGACAAAAGTGCTAAGTTAATCGACTTATGTGTTTTTCTATCTCGGTGTTTGTGAGATGCGAACACAGATTTTACTTCCAGCACTCCCAGAAATTAAAGGTTGTCACTCACAAAAATATTTATGTAGCTTCTGTTGCAAGTGGTTTCATTGATGCAAGATATAGAAAAGGTATTATCCTATGAAACTTTTAAAGACGAAGCAGACTTAGAAAGATATATGTGGTGTTAATTGAATTGACACTTAAAACTATGTCACGACAATACTTTTATTCTTCAGAGAAAACACCAATGCATAAGACATGGCGTCAAAAACATGGTACTTACTACCAGGGGAGTGCCCAAGCGTCAAGACGAAGTACTTACCGTATAAACATGCCAATGAAAGTTGCTAAATTACTTCTTCCCCAAATTTCCAATAAAAACCAAGAGACAATTATAAGAATATATCCAGACAAATCAGCCGAGGCGCAAAATCAGACAGGTCACTATATG